AATATTTACTCGGAAAGAAATTCACTATTGTTACTGATCATGAAGCTTTAAAGTTTATTTATCATCCTGAAAAATCCTTAGCACGTTCCTCAGCAGCTATGGTTCAGCGATGGAGTATTGCTTTGAGTGCATATGACTATACGGTTCAGCACAGAAGTGCCAAACAGATTCAACATGTTGATTACATTTCTCGACAGTCATTACAAGATAAACCTATTAATACTTCGGATTGTTTGTTAGTGCAACCTTTACCAGTGAGACGTTCAGATCTTATTAGAGAAACGCGTAGATATTTTGGATGTATACTCAGTGCTATAAGGAAAGGTTGGAATGCTAATTTGAAACGGAGATTTCCTATCTATTTTTCAAAGCGGGATGAGTTATCTACTACTCCTGATGGTATTCTGTGTCTAAATGATCGTGTTGTCATTCCTCCTTCATTGCGTAAATCTGTTCTTGAAGATCTTCATAGTGGTCATTTAGGTGTTGAGAAAATGAAGTCCTTGGCAAGGCTCACGTGCTGGTGGCCAGAGATAAATGCAGATATATGTCGTACTGCAAACAATTGTGAGAAATGTCATCAGTTGAAAAATCATCCTTCGAAGTGGGTGCCATGGCCAGTATCGTCTGAGGCCTGGCAGAGGATTCATGCTGACTATTGTGGACCATTTCTTGGTAAATACTACGCACTAGTAGTCATTGATTCTTTTTCAAAGTGGCCTGAAGTTTTTTTCACAACTTCACCAAATTCTGATTTCACAATACAAGCATTAAGAAAGGTGTTTAGTCGAGAAGGTGTTCCCTTGGTGTTGGTAACTGATAATGGCTCACATTTTGCTGCAGATGCAGTCACTACCTGGTTGAACGGTATAGGGTGCAAACATCTATTTACTGCTCCCAGACATCCGTGTTCTAATGGTCAGGCTGAGAATTTTGTTAGGACATTAAAGACTGCTATTGATTCTATAGCCTCCTCAACATTTAATGAGCTGGAGAGGGGAGTAGATACCTTTCTATTGCAATATAGAAATGCCAAACATTCGGTGACGAAGGAGACTCCAGCGAAGCTATTGAAAGGAAGAATTCTTCGGTCGAATATGAGATGTCTGGAGTCTGCAGAAGTTACATACTATCGAGAAAATGATCTTCGACCATCTACGGGTATTGTTCTGAAGAATGTCGGAAAATCGATGGTGCGAATTCTAGACATTGATGACTTAAGTACACACAGTCGACATGTAGATCAAATACAATTTCAGGAACCAGGTGAGTCAGTTCCAATTTCGATTGTTAATTCTAATGCTAATGAGCATATTCTAGATAGTACAGAATCCTTATCCAATACAATGTCAGACAGACAGAGGATGAATTTGAGAAGAAGACGTACGATTGATTACAAACACCTAGACTCCAATTTAAGCTGTGGCGGATGTGGTGTTTGAATGAACCAATGATACCTTTGTACTGGTTGAATGCTTGATTTCGAATTCTAAATACAATACATTCGTTTGTGCCTGTGTCTTCTTAATTCAATTGCGTTAATCCTGGAATTCCTAATTCATACGACAATTAGAATACTATAGATTCGAATACAGGACCTTCGGTTTTGTGCGCAAACGGGATTATGGATGCGCATAGCTGAGCGATCCCATATTATGGAACGAAATGGCTGTTCAGTGGTTTCAGGTTTTCCATGGTGGTCTAGCTTTAATTAACTCATAAACTCAACTATTTTATTATGTTATATGTTTTTCGATTGGTTTAAATATGAATAGTTATTAAGGTTTTTTCGACTGTGAACAATCATTTTAAAAAAATGGTTAGGAGAAATGAGGGATTAGAAGTGCCTATATTAAAACCTTTTATTTTGTGGGTAATAACTGATTAAACCCCATTTTTATGTTATTATAGTACTTAATAAGAATCACTCAATATTAGTTATGATGATTTTAAGTTTTATGCAAATAAGTAGCTTAAGAAGATTTAGTGAATAAAAAGAACCATTTCAAGTAGAATAGTATAGTACGACAACTGAAGTAAATGTGTGAAGAAAAACATCTACTCCTTCGTAGTGTTTATCTGTAGTCCTCAGTGTTCACCAAAGAGTTTAGATGGATTTTTTTTTAAATAGCAGATTTTATCCAACTATTAAACAGTACATAATGAACATCTCGATAGTGATTTTTCATCTTTCAGTATAATCGATGGGATTTAGTTTGTCCTGAAGAATGCAAAACTTAGTAGGAATTTTTGTATACTCGATCTGGTATAAACATTGGTTATATAAATATTTATCTTCATTTGACGTCTGTGATCATTACAGAAAAGTAATATTTTGCTTGGAAACTTTGAACTGGAGTCATTTTATATAGAAACGTTATTGGTAATTATCATTGTAACAAAATAAACTGTAAGTTTCTAAATGTATTTACTGTAAGATATATAAATTCAGAACATTTGCTTTTCTACATAATTAGAAAAACTGTTTTGTCCAGAAAAGTTTTCAATAATAAAGTACAGTGAACTACACAGTTTAAAGTTACTAGAATGTTTTAAGGAATGTTTCATTAAAAAGCTGTTTAAATGAACTCATTACTTTGTAAAGAAAATATTTGATATAATATGATCCTTCAGGGGATAAGACACTCAAACACCGAATAAAGATTAAGTGAAACGACCAGAAATAGATATTACTGTTTCCTCCTATCTCATCAATAACTAATAGTAAATTTCAAACCTTATTTAGTGGTCACTGAATTCAGAATAGTTTGTCACTGAAGGTAGTCAATCATAAATGTCTATAATTTGATCCAATGTGACAGTGGTGTGTTCTATTAGAAAGTAGAATATAATACAAAAATCAATCTTGTACAGAAGTTTTTAGCGATAGAAATCACTTATAAGCTGTTCTTTATTAATCTGTTAATGTTCAAAGCAACTGATGAAATATTTAACATTTAGCAATGAGTTTGAAAAGTTCAATACCATTTTCTGATTATAATTCCGTCAACAAAACCCTAGTAAATATGTGTATTCATTTATTAAAATAATTATTAAGTCAGTTTAGTGATGATTACCTTCTCAGAAATTGTTATCTAAAAATATATTTCGACAGTTAATCAATTGATCTTTAAATAACGAATTCAGTATTTTAAAACAGCGGTAATACTATAGCGACTCTCCCAAAATTAATTTCGATTATGGTTAATTTTTTGTTAAGCCTTTTTATTAACTTAACAGACAATGTTATTCGATCAGTAACAATTCATCTATTTCTTTGTACTATTATGATCACTATCTTGTTTTTATAAGCATGTACGCTTGATCACATGTAACAGCCTACGCACATATCTCCTTCTAGCTTAAATGTTGATAGTTAAAATATCACTCGTCGATTCATTCTTTTCCCTATGTACATATGTACTCGAATCCTATTAATAGCTTTTGTCTTGATGTGTCTTAACGAAGCTAAGTGATTACCGTAATTCGAAATCGCGAAAATTTCGTTTCAATTTTCAATATATTTTTGATCAATTTGTCTGACAGTTGATTTATAAATAAAAAAATGCACTTTGAAAACAATAGCCAGTGAAATAAACTAGTTATTATTCTATGATAGTTAGTATTGTTCTTTATAGATTAATATAAGTTAAAGTTCACTGTATTACTGAATATAATACAGTTCGTTTTTGATAAAATATGTACAGTCAACATCAACAAATAACATTAAATCATATTTTACTGTTCAAGAAAAGTTCACCTGTCTCCGAAATATACTCCTATCTTGATTGATCTATAAGTATTTTAGTCAGTAATGAATTACTATTAAGTTATTTACTTATCAGAGTTCGTAATTGTTATAACTTGCGAATGGACTGCTTACTTGTTATATCTGGTCGTCGCTGATTGTTGTGTCGGAAACGCCTATCACTTTTACTCGGAACGAGGGACCTCTGCAATTCCCACGACGCAAAAGTAAGAACATCAGGACTGGTATAAGTGAAGATTTATTAATTTCAAAACACAACGACGACAACCGTAGTCGAAAGCACATTCATTTATATATTGATTGTACACACACTTTGATGATTATTAATTAAGATGAAGTCACATATATGAAAAATACTCAGTTATAACAAATCACATACTGAGCATAGTTCATGTCAATTAAATACAAGTATCAGATGGGTTTTTGTGGAGATTGTAGTAATTTCAATGGTTAAGATCCTGAGTCAGTTGAAGCTAGACCACCATGGAAAACCTGGAAGCACTGGACGGCCGTTTCGTCTTATTGTGGGACTCCTCAGCAGTGCGCATCCACGACCTCGCCCCCTGCGAGATTCGAACCCGGGACCTACTGGTTTCGCGCCCAAGCACTTAACCACTAGACCACTGAGCCGACATCCAAGTATATCGTATATTATACAGAATAAAGTATCATATGAGAAAACAAATGAAATACTACACTGAATAATCGTCACATTGAATCAAAACGGGAGTAATCTTGAACAAAACTCATAATGAGTAAATCAATCGAATTTTGACTTTTCTTCCCATCATAGCAGTGATGAATACTTTCTGCATAGGTTACACACGTTTAGTACACTAAAGTACTTAATGAATGTTTAGATATAGAATCTTATCTGTTTTAATATTGTAATCATATAGATTTATTTTTCCATAAAACAAAATATTTAAATTTGGATTATTTCAAAGAGTTTAGCGAAGAAAATTTTCTTTGCGACAAAATCATTTACTTAAGCTGAACATTCGTATATATAGTTTTATGGAAAATGTATGTCTATAAGAGGATAGGAAAAAATTGCATCACCAATGTACAGCTTAAATGAATGATTTCGTCGAAAAGAAAACTTTCTCCGCTGAATTCTCTTTTTCTTATTCGATGACACTATGGGTTATTTTGATTATTTCCAAGAGTTTAGTTTACTAAATAGATAGATACAAATTCAGAAATAAAAATATAATATAAAAGAACCTACATATTTGGTTTTTTGAATCCATTCATAATATCCAGAATTTCTGATGATAAAGAGAAATCCATTATCTTTATTTAATTGAATAATTTCATTTTCATATTTATAAACTATTAATTGTAAATGCTTTTTAGAAGGATCATGTGTTTTGAATAAACTAACCAGTTTACATATCATATATGATCGAATCTGAGAACAATGAAAATAAATAAATAAATCGGTAAAATAAATGACCTTTTGAAAGGAAGTAAGATTTAAAGAAAATTTCAGGAAAACAATTTCTTTAGAAAACATTAATAAATAATTTTGATATTCCACTTTCTTTATTTACTTTCAGAGAAGATATAAATAAATAAAAACAACAGACACAGTTACCTGGCCATCCTTTTCTATTTCATGATAGAATAGTTACTAATTAGCTTATAATCAGTTTTATTATGTATCTATATGTTACTCATAAATTAATAGTTTATAAAAAATCACTAGTAAGTTGAGATTTGCAGCTGATGATGTAATGATATACATCATGAGTTATTGGTATATTACATTGGTATTACAATAATGTGTCGTAAAGTTTACTATCATGATAAATATATTTGTTAACTGAAAACTATTCTTAAACAATAAATTTATCTAGGTCTTTTGTGTGTTTATTGATAGTGCAGCAATTATCAAACTGGAACAGCAGAGCAATTATGTAAATATCCTTGCTTTCTTTAAGGTGAATTCAACTTTAAATGGTATGTTCTAAAATTTCATGTCATCTCATTAAGATATCAAGACGACGTTGAAAATGTTTCCAATATACTGCTGAAATAAAGTTACCGCCAAAATTTTTGTACTAGTTAGTGGAAATAGTGACCAATATAGAAGTTTTAATGATATATATATATATATATATATATATACATATATATATATATATATATTGTATTATTATTATTAGTGGTCTCATTCAGTATTATATTCTTGGTGCAAAACGGAATCTTCAGCACAAATTATTTCAACAGGTTTCTATTTCTTATTTCATGATCGGTCCTTGAGACAAATATTGAGTGGTCACCAGTTAGATATTAGCAGTTCAGGAATCGACATCTGAATAATGTATATTCTTTTCGATGCATATTGTCAGCAACCACAATATCTTTAATTGGGCTGTTATGTAAATTGTACAGTGAAATGTCATCAACTTTTCACAGACACTCTTGAATAGTTTATGGGACTAATATGCATAAAGATGTGTTAAAACAAACAAGAGAAACAGATAACTTGTTGAAATTTTCTGGTGATAGGAACAGATAACTCAGATATTTTGAGTTAGCTTCCTTGTTTAATGAAGCAGTAGTAAAATAACTTATTCAAACCAATCATTCATCTTATGAGAAATTATATCCATTTAAATGTTAACCGAATAACTGTAATGGTTTAGAGAATTTTTTAAATCATTCTTATTGTAAATTTACTATATAACACTTGAAAACATTCTGTAAATAAATTGACGTAGATTTCCATAATAATTGAACTAACAATATGGGGTTTTTTTCAACAATATTTTCACATAAATGCATGTTAATAATTGTACTACTCCATAAGAATATACTGTGTTTCTGAAAATATAGTAATATATAGTAAGTACTATTGTAATACTGGCAAAACGTTTCAATTCTTTTTTTTCCTTATTTTTTTTGTTAGTTTATTCACTGATGGCAGAAATATATAAGAATGTTCAAAATAATACCACTTAAACTTCTTCAATGAAGATGTAAAAGTAGGAAAGACAAATGTTAAAATTCATTTTGGCTAGAAATGTTAGGATTAAGGTTAAAAATGAGTATATGCATAAGTGGATTCAAAAATAAATTTAGATGAGAAATATATTGTCAAACGGAATGTTTACTAGTATTAATATAAACAGAGAAGATAAGATTAAAACTAAGATAATGTAATATACGTTCAGTTCCATTCATTATGAGCTGTTCTCTGAAATAAACAAATTCTAAACAAAATTTACTTATGTGCATACTGTGCATGTACAGGTAGTTAATCACTGTTTTATTTGATCCTAAATCAGAGTGAAGTCATTAATTTGTTTGAAAAATCAGTAAAGCTGACTAAAAATCGAGAAACCTATTTACGTATTATCACGTATCAAATTTCTTGATTTTTCTTTCAAACGGTAACCATCAGTTTTATACTCTACACTAGAAATTGTTCTATTTGAAAAACAGACTATTAGGAACTGTTTACTAAAAATGAATGGTTCAAGAAAACCCCTGTCCTATACAAATGAGAATATTCTAAACGACTGATTTTTATTTGTTATAATATGCTTGATCTGTATAGATATAAAGGTTTACATGCCTAGTCAAATCATTTTTTGATATTTTTGATGTTTTGAGTCATTATTTCAGTTTCGGTTAAATATAAACATTTCATACTGATTCAGCCAACAACATTTGCGAATACGCATATGTTGCATTTTGTCATATTGCTTTCAGTTGGCAAAGTAATAAAAGCTTATGAACAAAGAATAACGACTTAGTCCGTCTATAGGAATTGCTTATTAATGAGTAACTAAGAGTTTGCGGAAGATCCAGTATATTTTAATAAAATTTAGATTGGATTGAGATATTTCACGCCGACCCTTCATACATTTCATTCATCCATTGTAACATTATTCTGGTTGATTCAGAATTGTTAAGATTGTTGAGAGTGGATTTGGTTATCAGATAAAAATAAAACACAATCTATTATCAACATAAATCTCTTATATTTATCTATTCAAATATGCTCTTATTCCGTTGGCTTTATGTAAATCTCGGTAATAGTTGAGATCATGAGTCAATTGAAGCTAGATCAACATAGAAAACCTGGAAGCACTTCCTTTTCGTCCTATTGTGGGACTTCACAGACGTTTGCGTCCAAGATCCCGCCCCGCCAGATTCGAAAACAGGATTTATCGGTATCGCGAGCTAACGCTTCTCCTCAAGACCACTGAGCCAACATCGAACAATGTTAATGTGCAACTTCAAATAATCCACGAAATTGAGCGACACATCCACCATTGTCTTCAATGAGTTACTTTCTCACAACAGACCCGGTCGAACTCCAATGGTCAATGATTCTAAGTAGAACTCCAGGAAATACCTTCTTTTGTTAAACTCTTCAGTCATTATGAAAGGAACATTGTTTAGTAGTCATAACAACAATCCAATTCAATATTCTTGGCAAAATTAATCACATACTTATTCAAGATTATAACAGATAACTTAAATTATGAAACATATAGAACAGAAAAGAGTCATTTAAGATACTGTTAATTTTCTAGATCTCTTATCTACATAAATATTAATTATCTCTTAGGTAGAATTAATCATATTTCTTAGACAGTATGTAACATTTCTATGCATTATATGTTACAAGTATTTTTGTGTTCTTTTTTGTTGTTGTTGGGTTTCTAATCCTATTTAATTAATACAAACATACAGAATTTAAGTCATTTACACTTGTGATTACATAAATATACTCTTACCTTGTTATTTTAACATTAGAAACTGTATATAAAATCATATAGATATTTGGTTTCAATGACAAAAAAACATTACAACAACAATAATAAAAATGGTTTTTTGATAGTTTAAATCAGAGACTGATTTTAGTCAGATAACTAATAAAATTCAGAAAGCACTGGATAGTTGTCTCATTCCCATATAAGAAATCTTATCAGAGGACATCATCAACCAATCGATAATCGAACCTAGGACTCACAGACTCGTGGCTAACATGACTGATAGAGTTGAACCATTTCGTGTTTGAGACAATTATCCTTCGCAGGTAATGAAAGTTGGTCATTCAGTATGAGTAATTTATTGAAACTAGATGTGTATACCATTAGATGTCAGCTCAGTGGTCTTAATCTAAAGGGTACGCATACGCTATCGAAGACCCTGGCTTGTGGGTGCATATTATCAGTGATTCCTATGCCATGGCGAAACATCTGTCTAATGTTTCCCGATATTCAGTCGCTATCTAACTCAAATAATTTGATGATGTAAGCCATTAAATTAAACAATGTCCCGAAACCCGTTCATACTAAACATGGTCTTCAAAATGAATGAAGATATAGAAATATAATTAACCGAGTTATAAAATTTTCTCTATCAAAGGCTGAGAATACCAGTTGATATTCACTTAATTCATACTCGATATTGGTATCCTAACAGCTGAACAGTAACATCCTGAATTGTTAAAATTCAGGACAATTATTAGTATAAAATTGTTTTGCCGATAAAATGATAATTGGTACAAAGCTTAAATCAATCGCAATAAATTAACTTAAAGTAAACAAATACCCTGATATTACTCAGCCTGATCGGAATTCAATCCATAGTTTAACAAACTGATAATAATAATCTATTTCAACTTCATTTATTATATCTAGTTGCCACACTATTTGAGAGTGAAAAATAGATAAAGAATAACCTTTAAAACTACTCCTCTACAAGTTGACAGTCACAATAATGCACACTGTGGTTCCTATTCTTCTGTTTTACCCAAACTATTTTTTAATTTGGACCGTAGGCCAATTGACTTTAGAACACTATTGAAAACCTGGGAGCACTGGATGGTCGTTTCGTTCTAGTATAAGACTACTCAGCAGTGCACATCTATAATTCCGCGCTCGGGGTTCGAACTCAAAATGTTTGGACTCGCGTGCCCAAGCGCCCAAACTTTGAACCACCGAATCGACATCCGACGGCGATAGTGTCTAACTTCAAACAATCCACGAAGTTGTGCGACCACCTTTCATTCTACTGAGATGGATACCTGTCTCTACTCAACACGGATTAGCTCCACTGGTCATGACTTTTCACTAGAACTTGTCACTGCCTTAAAATTATCAAAATGCGTGATTAAACTCATAAAAAAGTCCTTACTTATCCCAGTCTTATCTAGTTACAAAATTAAATCTTTATTTTAGGATCTGAAGAAGATGTCTGTTGACTGGTTCAGCTACATATTTTTCAATGTACAGTCGTGACTAGACACTAACAGATTATCAAAATTAATGAAGTAAGTTATTTTGTAGCTGCGAAATTCATTTTCTTTTAAATTAGTGTGTTGTCTCTGATCAGAATGATGGTGAACATTTTGAAATAAAAAAACTGTTGGCGAGATCAAGAAAACTCCTCGAAAAAAGCCAAAAAGGCTTTAAAAACGCTGAGAAGCATCTTATCCAATCAGCATTCACTAGAAGTCTTGACAGGAACATCTAGAAAGTGAAACATTAAATGTCGAGTTTCTGATTGGATGATTACCTATACTCTATTCAGTAGCGTTATATAATTTTCCGGAAACTCAAGACCATCAAAAATACTATAAAAACCCTAGATTTTTTGTAAATGAAAAAAACTTGGAGTGAAGCATTTCTCCTATATTTAGCTCCTTTTTTCTCGTGTTCAAGTCACTGTGTAGCTTGGAGGTTAATGAAAGAGATAAGGAACCGAATCTAGCGTTCAATTAGAAGAATTATGAAAAACATTTTAGGTACAATTAATCATTAGTAACAGGTATAAATCACTGGACATAAATTAACTATAAAGGTCTGTCACATTTAAATGTATACTAATATCCAATATTCGAATAATAAAATATGCGAGTGTTTAAATATCAATTTCATGCTTACACAACATCTTTGACATTTAATATGTTATATAAAAAGCAACTCCTAAAATGTTTATTTCATTAAGCACTTTCCAATAATGATATGGTTCACACTTGTTAACAAAACTGGTAATCTGTTTCCAAATCTCATCACTTCCTGTTTCTTTTTCACTGCCAAAACTGATTTATATTCTAAAGCCCCAACCAACAGACTTTTTTGAACAACAACAGAAAAACTGTAAATGTTAATGTTAATCAATAATTTATAGGACAGAACAATAATTCTCTGTTAATTACTGATAATTTTAGTTTCATTTCAGATATTTAAAAATATCTGACCAACGTAGTTTTTAAAAAAATATTTCAGGACTGATAGATCCTGGATTCGAATCTCGCGTGGCGGGATCTTGGATGAGCACTACTATGGAGTCCTATACAAGTATGAAAAGTTCGTCGTCCAGTACTTCCAGGTTTTCCATGGTGGCCTACCTTCAATCGACTCATGAATTCAACTATTAAATTTCTATAATATCCACAAAAATCCCTTCTGATATTGATCAACATATGCTCACTAGTGACAAGCTTCAAGAGGTATTTCCTGGAGTTCTGGTGGGAAGCAGTGACCAGTGGAGTTCAACTGGGTCTGATATGAGATAGTAATTCACTAAAAACAATGATGGACAATGTCGTGATTTCGTGGATTGGTTGCATTTAGACATTAACATCGTTGGATATCGGCTCAATGGTCTCGAGGTTAAGCCTTCGCGTACAAGACCGTTAGGTCCCTTATTCGAATCTGGCGGTGCAGGATCGTGAGTGCACACTTCCGAGAAGTCCCATACTAAGATGAAACTTTCATCCAGCGCTTCCAGGTTTTCAATGATGATCTACCTTTAATTGACTTATGAGTTCAATAATTAAATTCTTTCAATTTTCTTAAAAATTTAGAAGTTTAAACAAAAAGCAACAAAATCTATATTGAAATCTATAAAACTTACTTGAATATCTAAAGATTTATTTAAAATTTTCATGATTTTTTTCATTTTTTCATCCGTTAAACATTTAATATACGAATTAAAAATTGTAATTCTTAATTCATTTGATTCAGTAGTATTCAAAAATACATTCCATAGGATATTCTGGTAATTTTTGTTTTCATATAAAGAGAGAGGGGCAAAGAAGAGAAAACAAAACGGCAGATATTTAAGCTAAAACAAAACTGAGTAGTTTGTTTGTTTGTATTTTCATGCATTATTTAATCAAGAGAAAAAAAATGAATCCGCTCCAGAAAATTATTTTGTTAAGAATAACTTAACCCCCTATTTTAATTTATATTTTACTGATTATTTCATAGAAAATAATGATACTAATATTGGTAATAATAATAATGTTGAATCTATGTGAATCATAAAATAAAACGAAACACTTACAAGAATTATGATGAGCTCACAGTTTTTCATCAACTAAAATATTAATTATTTTCGCTTGACGAATGCGAAATTGAGTTATTTCAATTGAACATAATATACTTTATATAAATTGAAGGTAATAAATTCTATCAAAGTTATGTCACATTATACGGCAGGTTTTATTCATTGTTTGTTAAGACATTTCATACCAATTAACAGCTATCTACGCAAAATACTTCAGGTCTGTTGGCCAGACATTATTAGCAACAACCTACTGTGGGAGAGAACAAACCAGATCCCAGCGGAGGAAGAAATCAGGAAGAACCGCTAGAAGTGGATAGGACGCACATTGACGAAAGCACCCAACTGCATCACAAGACAAGCCTTCACTTGGAACCCTCAAGGTGAAGGAAAATAGAAAGACCATAGAACACAGTCCACCGAGAAATGGAGATAGACATGAGAAAAATGAACAAAAATTGGATAGAACTAGAAAGGAAGGCCCAGGACAGAGTGGGTTGGAGAATGCTGGTCGGCGGCCTATGCTCCATTGGGAATAACAGGCGTAAGTAAGTAATAAATAATTGAGTTGTGCTGTGGTTGGATTGAAGCCTAAGCAATTTAATAGTTGAATTCGTGAGTCGAATAAAGTTAGACCATTATGTAAAACCTGGAAAAACTGGATGGCCGTTATTGTCTTATTGTAAAGTAAACACTCGCACGTGAGATCGATAGGTCCTGTGTTCGAATCTGGCGAGGCGGGATAGGGGATACATTTTGCTGAAGAGTCACATACTGGGACAAAATGGCTATCCAGTGCTTCCAGGTTTTCCATGGTGGTCTAACTTCAATTTACGCATCAACTCGACTATTAAATTACTATAATATCCACTAACCCCCTATCTGATCATAAATTTTTATTATCAATCCAATGAACATTAAATATTCGTTTATGAAAACACCATGTTGAATAACAGAAAAAGGTATTCGAAAGAAAAATTGTGTAAAGAAAATTAACAACAACAAAAAAACATTAGTAGTTAAAATAAACTTACATCTACATTTTGTTCACATCGAAAATGATCAATTATTTGCCCAAAATATAATCGTAAATCATCATTATATTCCATTTTATAATCAATTAAAATTTTTTGAAAAAGGGAAATGATTTTTTGAGAAGATAAGATTTTACCAATGTTTGCAATAGTCTGGAGGGTTTTTAATGACTATATTGGTAATGAAAAATAATCAAAAAATAAAATAAAAAATTATCTGTAAAAGTTTTCGTTAAGTTCATGAGTCAATTTAAACGAGACCATTATGAAAAATATGGGAGCATTGGACAGCCGTTTCGTCTCAGTGTGGGACTTCTCAGCACTGCGCATCCACGATCCTACTAAGCGAGATTCGAACGCAGGACTTTTCAGTCACGAGCGCAAGCGCTTAATCTCTAGGCCACTAAGCCGTATCTGTTGTGATATAGTAATTCACTGAAGGCAATAGGTGGATGGTGACTCAATTTCGTGGATTGGTTGGAGTTAAACAGTAACACAGTTGGATGCTGGCTCAGTGATCTATCTGTTAAGCGTTCGCGTGCGAGACCGATAGGTCCTGCGTTCGAATGCCGTGTGCATTGTTGAGGAGTCCCACATTAGGACGAAAAGGCTATTTAGTGCTCCGAGGTCTAACTTCAATTGACCCATGAAGTAAATCTCTAAATTACCATAATATCCACAAAACCCTTTTCTGGTAAAAAATGTTTTGCAGTTAAATGAGAGAAAAATATTCATTTTAAGATATTGTCATCATGTTTTTATGATATAAATTAAATTTACTAATCAAAAGTCATTGTAAAGTTTAAATCTAAATGCATTTTTTCTAGAAAACACGGTATGATCGTACATTTATTAATAAGTTCAGTGTTTGTAAATGTTGAAATATTTAGAATGTATAGTATGTATACCTGACTTAGTTTTTAGGTCAGTTAACCTTTCATTATAAGTGGTAGTAATAACTTTTAGCAGTGAAAAGAGGAAGAAAAAGAAATCAGTAATTAGTTATCAGATTTAATATCTGAAAGTTGAGGTCATTCATTATGTTTTCTATGTTCATGTACTTCATTAAATATAGCATCTTCAACCATTTTCTCCTTCATTTAATGTTATATTATTAGTGTGTAATTTTCAACAAACTCTTCATTACATCTACGGTTATCAACAATTAACTTCTATGAACATGTTAGTATACCTTAGCTTGATGCATAGGATTATAGTTACGAATAAATTTTTAGTCCATATATGAAAAAACTATCCATTATGTAAATAAATTTTAAAAATGAAACCTAATGAATGGAAAAATAAATGGTCAAATTCAGTAATTACATAACATATGACTTAGAAAATTTCACCATTATTTTATTAATAAAACCTTTTCAAATGTTAAAAATACTTTGTACCTAATTGACTGTAATCATAGTTTTTCTCAATCCAAATTACTCATTAAAACCTAGCAAAACTTCTCCATTTTTTTTTAGGTTAAATAAGAAAACTTTATTGCTTTCACTACTTTTTGTTATTTCGGAATTTCGCTAATTGAAAATTTAACTATGTTTAAGGTGATAGTCAATTTAAAAGAACACACATGAATCTCAGAGATTAATGTAAAGGAACTTTTGACTTCATACAATTATTAAGTTACGTTTAACCATAGCAGCCTTTAAACAATACAAACTGAAATGATTTGTACAAATATTTGCCTTGTGATTATTTTTAAACTAATTATCCCATACTACACACAAATTCTGATCATCGAGTGAAGTTTTTATTTATAAACTCCCCCTAACCATCTCAAATTATATTTATCTGTAGTGCCAGTTGTAATGTCATCGAAAAGATAAATATTCCATTCTTAGCTTATACGATTAACACGACCAAACTAATGACGTATACACCATTACGAGTAGTATGAAGTTCCGATTGGTGTTTTTTCCTCTTAAGTCCAGAACACCAATCTCCGACTTCGTGATATGAATCACATATTTCAAACATAATGAGTTTATATACAAACAAATCAGACCACATCACATCATAATATAGAAAATAACATGTACAAAATCTAACAAAAAGTGTCTATGATCGTAGGAGATCGTGACTAATAAATTGGGAATATCTCGAAAATAGTAAATCGTATGATAATAATCAATCGGTCCAATAAAAGCTTATAATAAAGGGAATATGAATATACATATAATATAATTACGTAATAGTCATATAATATTAGTTTATGATTAATTATCAGAGGGGGTTTTGTGAAGATTTTAGAAAGTTCACTGGTTGGAATCATGAGTTATTTGAAGCTAGACCACCATGGAAAACGTGGAAACACTGAACGGACGTTTCGTCCTAGTATGGCACTCCTCAGCAGTGCGCATCCACGATTCCGCACCTCGCGAGATTAGAATCCAGGACCTATGATTCCCGCGCCAGGCGCTTAACCAACTAGACCACTGAGCCGGCATCCAACGGATGTAACAAAAGACCTGGTTGAACTCCACTGGTCACTGCTTCTAACTAGAACTCCAGGAGTATAAACAATTTCTAACGTTTATCATCTATTTATTCTCGTTCATATAAAACAATAAAGATTTTATCTGATAAAAATTTCTAAACTTATTACGTCATCATAGAAAATCAAAAAGAGTAAAGTTTTCTTTTCGATATTATTTCTTAAAATTATATAATTACATTTATGCTTATTTCACATAGAATAGTATATATTAAATCACTAATTTATTATTACGTTATTAACAAGTTTAACAAAATTTAGTTAAACATTTCAAATGTCGAATAATAGTCACACATAGATTAACTAAATATTAATACAATACGAATTAAATGAAAATCACACAAAAAAAATGTAAAATATTGTTGTTGCCTAGGTGATTATATGTAAAAATGATTTTTTTTAAAAAAAAGGGTTACACTAAATTATACTCTTAAAATAATCTTGTTTATAGAAATAAAAACTAGTATGTATTCTGAAGATATAAGGGGTATGAAATGATAAGAATTCATTTCCTTTCATAATGTTTTATTGTTGTTGTTCTTTTTACTGCATCAACAAAACTAAATAACAATCAGTGTTAGAATGTCATTTATTAAGGATAATTCACATGTATTGTATAGATAATAATCTGATTTCGGAACTAATTAAACCTCTTCAACATGTAACATGATTAAACATTATTTTTTTCCTCCTCTTTAAATAGTTAATTAAAACAAACATGAAATAAAATTTTCTTCCTCTAAAGATGTTATCAGTTTTTTTTTATAATTGAAAACTGAAACAACAAACTTATGATTAATAGCAGTATACTTATTAGGTATTTTGTTAATTAATAGGTGATATGAATGTTTTTACATTATGAATGTTATGATGTTTGTGTTTTGATGAATAACTTCGATAAATGTTATACTTCTTTTTTTCTTAACAATACATAATTATAAATGATAAGGAAGAATGAAATCGTTGAATAAGTTGAATATCACTATACTGATGGACAGAATGGTCTATAACTATGTGAAAATATGAACCTTAGGAATATTCTATATTCGATAACGTTAGTTACTAATGTTATTGGCGGCCTGCTTGAATATCCAGGCTACTTGTTCCTACCACCTGGATATTTCAACAAGTTATCTCTTTTCTTGTTTGTTTTAACATATCATTATGCTTTTTGGTCGCACAACCTATTCAGGGGTGTTTGTGAAAAGTTCATGACATTTCACTGTACAAATTACAAAAGAGCTCAATCAGAGATACCGTAGTTGCTGGCAATATGCATAGAAAAGAATATACATTATTCAGATGTCGATTCCTGAACTGCTAACATGTAACTGGTAACCACTCGTAAGGGTCGACCAAGAACTAAGGAAACGTGTTGGAATACTTTGTGCTGACAATTATATATTGTACCGAAAATATAATATTGAGTAAAGCCAATAATAACAGTATTTATTGTTATTTTACATTGACAATAGAAATAAATGATAATCAATTTCATTAGAATGAGGATTCATGAAGATTGTGGTGATCATTAACAAAGCAAAAAGTAGTATGTCGATCATATTCATTGAAAACCGAATTACTATAACCACATCGGTCACTACTTCTCACTAAAACTCTAGTAAATTCATTTTGAAGCTAGTTTAATCCGTGTCATGTGGTGACAGTTATCCACTTCAGTTAATTGACGAAGGGTCGCATAAGACCATGGATCGACTGAAGCTAGACATTGATACCACTGGATGCCGATTCAGCGGTCTAGATGTTGAGTATTCGCTAGCGATACCGAATATCCTTAGTTCCAGTTTGGTGTGCGCGATCGCGGATGCGCACTGTTGAGAAGTCCCATACTTGGACGAAACTGCAGTCGACTGCTTCCGTTTTCCGTGGTAGTCCAACTTAGATCAACTCATTAGTTCAACTACTAAGATGATCGATTTGTTAATCAACAACTAAGGATTTTTTTCAAAAATTTAATTGAGTGACGGGTATAAAATTTACGTCAAGATCAAAAACATATGGAAAATATGAACAAAAGAAAAGAACATAATAAGAGTCCCAACAAATCATAGTACAGTAATATTGCATGAGAGATTAATGGCATTTTAAATGATTACCTTTATGTTGTCTTCTAAATCAACTGCATTTTCAATAATGTCTACCATTTCTTTGATTATTTGAGATTCCATACATGATGGATGATTTTCACAAAAACGCTTTATACTTGAACTGACATAATAAACTGTATGATTGTATAAATCATCTGTTAACAAGCTCTAAGAACAAAAGATATATGAAATGAATTCAATAGTCATCCTGAATAATATTGATGTATAAAAGTATTATCGAAATAAATATTTAATTGTTAATTATTTATAGAGGTACAATAAGGTTAGATGAATGGAGGTTACATGTAATCAACAAATATACATAGTTACATATAGAAAGACTAGGGTTTACTTCCATCGGAATCAAATAATATTAATTACAAGTTGAAATCGTATTGTGTGGTTATAATTACCGTTGACACACGTTTACTCTGTATAACAAATCAATCTGTGTTTTAATAAAATTAGTGGCTCAAGAAGTTGGGTAGTTCAATAAACACAGAAATTATTTGAGTTATATAAATAAGCTTTGAGAATAGATCCAAGAAACTAATTGTTTGGGATTAAGAAAATGATAAATGTGTGCATATGCGCTGTAGCAAACGGTTTTTACTGAATATGAATGACATTCTACTTGGTGTTTTGGTACTGAATACGTGCTTACTATTTGAAAGTAACGGCTAAATATCGTCGAATTTTTAAATATTTTCCAGTTTTTTATAGTGTGTTTGACTCTTCATTGATATACCCAACGTTACCTTATTAATGCGTAGTATTAATTTCAGCACACCGCCTTAGGTTACATCAGTTATTGCAAAAATAGATAAATCCTAATCTAGGAAACTTTGACAATGTTCCATATTTGTATCACCAACATATTAAAATATTTAAAACCATCTTTCTTTAATAGTTTTCCACGCATTTTATAGTCATACAGTAGTCAAATTGGCTATTGACAATTCTGATGGCATGTACTCGATGATAATATCAAAATGTCCACTCCATAATTATGTAACACGCCTATTCATTACAAAACCTCGAATAGTTCTGTTTAATAACATCAATACCAGTATTGCTTAGAGTATTTACGCATTATTATACAAATGAATTGACTTCTAACTACCTTTTAGTAGGAGGTGACTTGTCAAAATCCTACTTTCTAAATCAACAAAATATATATTTTACAGCTGACACACGAAACGCCCACCTAAATCTTCATGTAGCTAAACCCAGTATTTGGACAAAATGCAAGGAACAAAGTGTCACACGGTTGTATCCAAACTTCTTATAAGTTGAATTCGCAAAATATAACTTCTTATCACTTTTCCGATGGACATGATGGACTACTAGGTTACGTACCATTAACTCAACATCAACAGGCAGATAACGTTCTTAACTATCCACTAACTCAATTTCAGTAAATATGTTCACGTTACCTAAATAATGATTAACATTTAGACATCTCTGGTCTCTCTTGTACTACAGGTTGTTCAAGTCCAAACCCATACGATCAAACACTTATACTAAACTATAGTTCAGTCACCTCTAAAATACATAACATGGATAACAAAGTTCTCGTTGTTTACACTCCATATTTCCTTTTTAAACTAATTGCTTATCAATTACCGTTCACTCATAAATAAGATTTCAGCCTTATGAACCTTAGCTTTACTATCCAAACCTTTTTTCATACTTTTCACTGAAACGTGGTGCTCTCCCTCAATGCTTGATGTACATACAGAGTCACGGATACTTTGGACAATGTGAATGATCTTAATGTTAATGCCTTTATACATGCAGCTGATCTAAACTTCAATGCTGAGGTTAATAAAGAAGATTTCAGTTACATTGAAATACCAGTAGTTGTCAGTCATGTATTGATGAGTTCATACCAACAATTAACGTGCACTCCTGGTCACAGTAAGTTCGCAACCCGACAATGCATGATAACACAAGTGATTTAATATTTTTTAGAGTTATCATGCCACTATCTATACATGAATGTAATGAAATTGAAGGCTTTGTCCATAAACCAGCAATTGGTGCCCTCTGTATCTGTCCCTCTTATAACCATCCCATTCAATAAACCAGTCAACATAGAGACTATAAGCATGCTACCTAGAACCTCCTAAACTGCCTGGTGAAAGTTTCAGAGTGGGATTCCTCATCCCCAAGTAATAGTCTAGTGAATGCCATCCACACATTCTATCTGATCACTAACTCCTGTTTAGATTCCTGTACAACTCCGAAAACTTACAGGTTAAGAAAGCCTAATGAAATATTTGTACCAGTTAAATATCGTAATAAATTAAAGGTGCTTGAACTTGTAAGTATATTCTATTCCACAAGTGAGATTAAACGAACTTCAAAGGTCCGATAGTTTTTATTGATGAATCCGCTAAGTGAACCTCTCTGCCTTCTGTTACATTACACTTACACCGTCCCTAGCAACCTTAACTAATTTGAGATAGTAACTTATTGATGACAATGGTGGATGTGTCGCTCAATTTCATAAATTAGTTGAAGTTAGATATTAACACCGTTTGTTGCGTGGCTCGGTGGTCTAGTTGGTTAAGTGCCTAGCGCGAGATTGGTAGGTCCTGGGTTCGAATTCAGTAGCCAATACTTATTCAGTTCCTATAATTAAGCATAGTTAATGCATAATAATTTGAGAACGGATTATCAGTCCATCATTTTTAACCATAACGCACAGAGATCTTCTAGTATGATTATGATAACTGAAATGTGTTTGATGTTTAAAAGTATTTGTACAGACTATTTTAATATAGTTTAATTTAGAATTAACAAACAAGTAAAATTTACCTTGATCTCTTTCATAAACTCAATGGTTGGTTTCTTTACTATACTAAGATAGTTAATCCATTTAAGTTGTTTATATTCATTTTTTGCGTTAACAATAAAATGATTTATGATAAAGATTATCGATGATTCAGTTTGAACCTCCAACATAACATTTTCAAGAAAATTTCTGTAAAATAAACCAGAATTCACATAAATAAAAATATATTGACACTGTATTCTGTACCCATGTAGAACATAAAGTATTTTCTTCTAACAAGTTTTGTATTTGAACAGTCTCATGAATTACGGTCCAAAGAGAAGTAAAATACAAAAAATTATTGATAAACAAGAATGGTTTGGACATATTATTGTTACGAAATTAATAGTCGTTTACCTTGATTAATTTATCACTGAAACACTATTATCTAGTGAATAAAATGGATTAATCCATCAGTTTATCAATATATTTCGAAAATGATCAGTCTAAACGATATATGTTTCCATGGTTTAATACTAATACTAATACTAACACTAATACTACTACTAATAATAATAATACAATATTAAAATTTCACTAACAACATATACTTTGTAGTTACTAAATATATCAAATGAAATAAAGTTATTGTCTCAAAATAAATTTCAGAGATTATAATAGATCAGAAATCTCGACATTCTTGAGTTAGTCATATACAACTTCATTCTGACTATCACGTTTATAAACAAACTATAAGCTTCAATACTTATACCAATCACTGATGTATCTTACAGTTGAACTAAACTAGAAGTATTTAAATTTAATTGTCTTAAAAGTGAATTTTTATTTTCTAAAGTTTCATTTAGTTGATGCTCTTGTTACAACAACGATTTTAAATTTCTGAAGAAAAGTTTGACAGTTAAAGTTCTTGTAGTATATGTGTAATATATATTGATCATTGTATGTAATAGAAAATGTGTGCCATGATTCTTGTAACTATGTTGTTAATGTAAATTGTAAAACCTATTTTGTTAATGACCATACATAATTTATCCATTCCTATGCTTTTTTTGTGGTCGTTAAACTGGTGTTCATTAGTGAATAGTACTGTCTTTAGTGGATTTTTCATTTACTAATATACTTCATAACATTAACGTCACCTTATAACTTAGTTTTATTCTAATTAGGTAACATGATATGTGTTATCCTTGTTTGTAATCCACGTGTTAGTTAATATTTTGTGACAAGACAACCAAGCGCTACAGTGTATGTTTTCTTAACGATTTTATTATCATCATAATAGTAGCACGTAACCAGGTCAATTGTCAAGACCTAAGAAATATAATGTGTATTGAAAGAACTATAACATATGAACAGGCGCAAATAAATATGACAATCTGTTAACTAAAGTAATCGGCAAGTACTAAATTAAGATACATATTTGTCACGAAACGAATAAACAAGGACAAAATTTATATTATAATAATATTCATACAAAGCTATAATAAAAAAAATTGAAAACAAATATTTCTTGAAAAGGTCGAAGTAAGAAATTAACATAGTTGGATGCGGCGCAGAGGTCACCACTGATGACAATGGTGAATGTGTCGCTCAGTTTCATGAATTAGTTGAAGTTAGACATTGACACCGTTGGATGCGGGGCGGCTCAGTGGTCTAGAGGTTAAGCGTTCGCTCGCGAAAACGACAGGTACTGTGTTGGAATCTGTCGGGGCGGGTTCGTGAATGCGCACTGCTGAGGAATCTCATACTAGGACGACATGGTCGTCCAGTGCTTCCAGGTTTCCCATGTTGTGTATCTTTAATTGATTCATGATCTCAACTCTTGAGATTGCTATAATATCCACAATAACCTTCTTTTGATATTAAATATTTCTTCGTTTTTTTTGTTTGTTTTATCGAATGTCTGAATAAGAACTTTTACATTTAAATATTCATTTATTTGTATTAACAAAGAAATGTACTCACCTAATTTCTCTCGTTTGAATACTTTCTTCCCATGAATTGTATGCTATTTTCCATTGTTCATATGTTAAACACTTTAATTGTTCAATAAAATAACTGAATTTCTCAGGTGTGTTCATTATCATATTAATATAATTATGATTTGTGATATTATTTTCTATAAGTAAATTATTAACCAATAATGTGTGATTTTTATCGGGTACTTCAAAATCCGTTTCAGATATTCCATCAACTAAAAAATTAAGGTATAAACCGATGACCAAATAAAGTCTCATTTGTTTAGAAGTGATCAATTGTTCGAAATTAGGATCTTAAGATCTTTGATCTGAGTTTTTTAAAGAATTTTTTAAACACAAATGTACTGGTAGTCTCTATGTTTTTGTTGCTTCGGATATCATTTTAGTCGTATTCAGTAATAATCCTTCATCTAAAGTGTCAAATGTTCACCTTAATTTTGTTGTTGTTTGAATCTTCCTGTTAATAATTAAAACTGTATATGATCAGTCTCCTTTCGGAATATAAACAATATTAGCATGTTTCCTCGTTATTGACAGATGCAGTCACACTGCGTCTAAAATTACTTGGGAGGGATTAGCAATACCATCGCAATCCTCACATGATGTACATATGTCAAAAGAGACTGATTAACTGCTGTTTATAATATTATCGACAAGGTTCAAATAACGATTTAAGATAAATTAGAATTCACTACGTTGTATAAGCCAGTGGATGTTTGGATATGTCCTGTATTACTTTGAAAAGAAAGATATTGATATCAAGTTTCAATATGAACATCGATACTGAGACTCGAGTACATTCAGCTGACAATCTTAAAACAAGGAGCAAAAGCTGTTTTGGATTCCCCTGTTACCCATTATTTAAGTTTACCACATTTACTTTATAACTCCATCCTTATAATTTAGGTATAACACTGATTAGGATTTTACGAAACTATTTGAATAAACGAATCTATTATAAATAATAAAAAGATTCACATAGAAAAAGTTGATTTCGTCAAAATATAATTACATTATCAATTATTTTAATAAGTTGTGGGAAAAGTATTTCACAAACAATACTCTTATAATTTACTTTATTTATAATCTACTGAAACACTAGATTAATTAAGCCTACCTTTAAACGATTCCTCACTTTTAAAAACTGATGTGTTCTACAACAAGAGTGATTGAAAAAATATGTATTTCATTTTCGCTGTTACTAGTGCTTTTAGTCTTTTTTCTTAATGTACTTACACCTGTGATCCCTAGTGGAGCATAGGCTACCGACCAGTATTCTCCAACCTACTCTGTCCTGGGCCTTCTTTTCTAGTTCCATCCAATTCTTGTTCATTTCTCTCATGTCTATCTCCATTTTCCGGCTTAATGTGTTCTTTGGTCTTCTTCCTCCCCTTTGGCCTTGAGGATGCCATGTGAGGGCTTGTCTTGTAACGCAGTTCGGTGCTTCCCTCAGTGTGTGTCCTATCCGCTTCCAGCGCTTCTTCCTGATTTCTTACTCCGCTGGGATCTGGTTTGTTCTCTCCCACAGTTGGCTGTTGCTAATAGTGTCTGGCTAACGGATCCGAAGTATTTTGCGTACACAACTGTTGATAAACACTTGTATCCCCTGGATGATTGCTTTCGTAGTTCGCCAAATTTCTGTCCGATACAATAGAACTGTCAAGACATTGATGTTGGTTGACAGTTATTTTATATACTTCTCTATCGAACCATTTAAGTTGTTTGTATTTCTACTTTCATGAGAAGTGAATGTTTTAAATTATGTTTGTTAGTAATATAGTAATTTGAAGTTTATTCTGATCTTTTGATAATCTATTACTTTGATATATAATAAAGATGAACAATAACATAATCTGGCTTTCAATCTAATGGAATTCTATGATATAAAACTTCGTCCATGAGAATTAGTTTGATACGTCCTAACAATAGCTGAATATATTATTAATATATTTACTTTTTTGAATATTAAAGTTTACTCTTGTTTTTTCATCGTTAGAAATAATGGATACAACCTTTTGTTTCGATATTAATCATTAATGTATGAATAGACTTTTTAACTTCTCCTACGTTTATTCAGCTCACGTTTTTACATCAATGTAGCAAAAAGAATACAGTCGAAAACAGTAACACCATGTTTTAATTGATATTATTTTCTATAATTGATGTTTTAAGTATTAGTTATTGGGAAAATAAAATATTTGCAAGTGATGTCTATCAGTAATTGAACTCTGTTAGTTTTGCAAAAACAAAAAGAAATCTTGGACAATTATTTCGTCGTAGCATTGAATTCCATAGATGTCGACTATCAAGATATTTCTGCGAAATGTTTTCGATTTGAATTATTTCAAGTTTGAAAATCATGTGTTACTTTATTGAACAAGAACACGAGGGGTGACCACCAAATATATTTCAGCATAAAATTACAGAACATCTCATTAAAATCTCAGAACCATATAGTAAATAGTTAATTTGCAAAATGTCAATCAATCGTCTCAAACTTCACTGTTCCTTTGCAAATATCAGTCCATTGTCTCAGATTTCATTGTTCATGCATTTTCATACAAATCGCGTCCCGTTTTTGTCCTTTCCTTATCGATCTTCTGCTGAAATACATTCTATGCCTGACAACCGTTATATACTACTTATATGGATATATGTATCCCACACCACATCACTACTTAAAACCACTGAAAAACAAAAAATTGTTTACTGATTCGAAATTTCTCAACAGTAATTTCAGTTAATTTACAAAGTCATAAAACTTCGTTTTTTTAGTGATTCATTATCTGACTACACTTTGATCGTTTCTGACTGCTATCGAAATGCATATGTCGCCAATCCTCGTATATATTATTATCGACTTATTCCGCTTTAGTGTATGACGGAATTAAATAAGCCAAATACAAGAATGAAGTTTTGAGTACGTATATTTTGTACACTCATTGATCTGGACAGACAATTAGAGGAACGAAGCGAATGAACCAAAGAGAAAAGAGCAAAGTGAAATGACGTGCGGTGGAGATGGCATGTGAGCCAACTCAACCGAGTGTTAATATTTATAGTCACACAAAAATAAGCTACAGACATATGATGAGTAGGATAAAATGTACACACACATATGCGCACATATAAAAACAGTCAGGGTTGATAAATGAATAATTACCAAGGTCGAAATGTGAATCAAGAAGAATAAATAGATTGGCGTGTCCAGAAGCTAGAATAAGTTACATGGGCTTAACATAGTAACCGACACTACAATTTTGCTTTCAAAGTAAACTTTTGAATTGCATGTCTAATTTCATTTTTACGATTTAAGTAGGTAAAGTGAAATTTACTACAAATATTTAACAATAATATGTTAAAGTGTGAAATAATCAAGTATTAATGGGTTTATATTTCGTTTAAATTGTCGAAATATAGTACAATGAAAAACAATTCAAAAGATACATAAGTTGTGCGACACGTTTTTTAGAAAGATTATTAAACATTTGGAATAAATTCACTTATGTAGAAAAAGATTAGTTCAATATTCAAATGATAGACCAATTAAAAAATAAGGTAGCTGTTCATGAGTTTCTCCTAGAACAAACAAACACTGATGGATAGGTTACGTTTTACCAAACTTTAAGTAACATCTACAAATACATAGTTACAAAATTACCTGAAATTCATAAACATGCAAACACTCGAGAATAAGAGACATGTATTTCAAATTATCCTAGAAGCTTCAAATATTTCAAATCAATAACCAAATTTTGTAAAATAACCCACATTATGAAAATTGAAGCGTGCAGCAACATCTTGACTTTATTCAAAACATCAGCATATATTCTCTTAATATCTTTAGCATCACTTAAAGTTCACTTATATATTCCCAAGTATAATTAGTCGTGCGATTAAGTATTCCTTTTGAACAGTTACAATGTATTTTTACACTCTAACCAAAACTCTTACATTAAACCTTAACTCCCAACCCTAAGTCATCATTCAAAATTCTAACATTAATCATTTATTTCTATAACCTATATTCTGACTAGGTAAAAATTGATTTCACCTTTCAAAGTCTTCTAACGAGTACACGATAGTCTTCAGCAAAGTATATCTTTACTGCTCACTTAGCGAATTATATATAAATATATATATAAATAAATAAAAAAAATATATATATATATATATATATATATATATATATATATATATGCGTATTTGTATTTGATATATTACATGAAATATACTCATGTAAATTTAGTTTCTTAGGGATATTGAAAAGATCTAAGCTTGTTAGATACATTTTTATTGCATACAACGATTGTTTGTCTTTTTTGAGAAATTTCTAAAACAAAATTGGTACTCTGACGTATATAATGCAAGAAAAATGCTAATAAATAAACTATGAATGAGATGGTGGTTTTTTTTCTTTGTCTTTAATTGAATGCATGAGTTAAGCAACAACAACAACAAAAACCAACAAGAAGAAGAAAGAAATGAACTAGACATTTTGTTAACGTCTACTTATAATTTTATTGTCTATTGTTGATTGAAAAACAAAGAACTTATTATATGAATAAATTGATATCCCACTAAATATCAGTATGAAATTCAACTACATACAATGTTATCATAACTGCGTAAATATGTTCTATTTCTAGAAGTCTATAATATTATGTAACTTTGATTAAATAAATGGGACATTGTTAGTGTGGACCATAAAGTTTCTTCATTATACAATTACTAATAATATATTTTTTGCTTGTTTCAAAACCAAGATAAAACAAATGCATAAGAACCCTACTCGCGGGATCGTGGATGTGCATTGCTAGGGAATTACCACAATAGGACGAAATGGTTGTCCAGTGATTTCAGGTGGTTCAACATCAATCGGTTCATGATCTCAATCAAAAACATAAGAATATTAATATTAAAACAACAATCTGTTGTGAATGATTAGTTTTTGTGATGTTACTATCAGACAAACAATCAATGCCAATGCATTTAGTCAATTTTCTATATAATGGACTACTTATGAACAAATTAAATATGATGTGATGGTTAGGATTTTTTCTATACAATTATTGGGTAATACTATTTTTGTAAATACATCTAGATAATTAACTAAAGTAAACTAAATAGTCACTTGTATAACATCATGTTTTGAAGGTAGATTTTTTTCAAAAACCAATGTCCACCAAAGAAGAAATGTAAATTAATAAATAGTGTAAAGTTTATACTTTTACAAAGACAGTTAGTTTCGTGGATTGGTTGAAGTTAGACATTAACACAGTTGGATGCCAGATCAGTGGTGTAATTGTTAAGCGCTCGCGAGCGAGACTGATAAGTCCTGTATTCAGATCTGGCGAGGCGGGATCGTGGATGGGCACTGCTGAGGAGTCGCACAATAGGACGAAACGGCCGTTCAGTGCTTCCAGGTTTTCCATGGTGGTCTAGCTTCAATTGACTCATGATTTCAAACAATAGATAATAGCCGATAGATTTAAGATTGATAATTATAGTGGATAAGGTATTTCATAAAGATAAAAAAACTCTTGGAAATTCAAAGCAATTAAGTCCGATTGATAAATTTCGATAGTGTAATAAGATGACGAAGATTATCAGAATTATGTGTTAGATTGGCACAATACATTTCGAACAATCTGATCACACGTAATATACTTGTTAAGAACATTTATATATAAAAATAAAAGGTCAACTAGACTAGAAATGGGTGTGGGTAAGAGGAGATAAGGATAATAAAGAACATAATGTGAAAAGAATGTGAAACTTCATCACCATGGATAATAAGTTAATATTACGAGGGTAGGTCCTGATAATATTTTTCTTCTTATTACACTATCGAAACTCACGAAAATATTTGAAAAAATTATTTCAGACTATGACATAAATAAAAATTACTATGGATTACAGTGAGTTTCCTTAAATCCGAAATTGTATGCAACGTTTTACCGCTTTATTCTAAAGGTCACTGAGCCAAATAAAATCAATAAAGCAACTATTATCAAACGTTGCTAAAACAAATATGTTGGAGTCAACAACTTAATGACTTCTAGTTTCAGGCTAATTATGTTTTAGATAACTGAAATCGATTCACAGGGAGGCTTTATTGTTATATATCATCTAATCTAATCTGTATTTAAAAGAGCAATAATGTTTCCTGAAAGTGAATAACATTGTCTAGGAAAGTAATACTGACACCTGTTAACAAGACGTACCACAATATAACGCGTTAATCAAACAAATGACAACATAATAAGTATGGCAGACATAATTTGATCTATAATAACAATATGGTAACTTCATGTTGTTTACTTATTAGTAACCGAATAATTCAAGCAACTATTTTTAGATTTTTAAAAATGTGCTGTCAAACTATTCGTTCAAATATTGACAAATATTCGTATATATAATGTATATTTGTAATTATTACGCTGTCTAATCAATATCTGACATAATAATTATCTAAACTGACAAAAAATCTGAAAGTTTTCATAATTGAAATATTGAAGGAAATAAAATAAATTCTGATATCTACGTATAACATCTTCTTTTTGATAAATGCTCACAATACAATCTACAACTCGATTAACAAGAGTTAACTAAATAACAATATTTCGATAGTGTAGTAAGAAAACGAAGATTAACAGAACTATATGATATAATCGTGCAGTACATTTCGAAAAATCTGATGACATGTAATATACTTGTTAAGAACATTTATATATAAAAATAAAAAGTCAATATAGGGAGAAGTAATCGTGATCTCGAAATTAGGGTATGTAAACATGTACCTAAATTGTTTCAGAAACAAATTAAATTAAATGACCCAATAAGAGCACAGGATAAACAGCCATCATCTGTTGCTAAACATACAATCGAAACAGGCCATAAAATTGATCTTAACTCAACTTTTGTGATGTTGTACAAAAGTGTAAAAGGGGGTATACTAAAGTTTATTAAAGCCTTATCCATACGGAAATTCAAACCCACTTTGTGTATTCAAAAATAGTTTATTCTTACCTTAAAACTTCCCTGACCGTTTCGTTGTAGTATGGAACTACTCAGCATTACGCATCCGCGATCCCGCCCGCCAGATCCAAACCTTACGATCTCATGCACGAACGCTTAACATCTAGACCTTGTATCCTCTTAATTCCCATCCATTTCTAGTCTAGTTTACCTTTTATTCTTATATATAAATGTTCTTAACAAGTATATTACGTGTGATCAGATTGTTAGAAATATATTGCGCTAATCTAACACATAATTCTGATAATCTTCGTCATCTTATTACACTATCGAAATTTATCAATGGGAATTAATTACTTTAGATAACAATATCATAATTTTCATTTTCAACAAGTACTGATAAATATAATACCGCATGAATATGTCAATTCTACAAAAACATTTTATTTATGTTAACTTTTTGAAAAAATGTTTTCTCTGTTCATTTCATGTTCATTTTCATTAGAAATATTTTTATCAATATCTACATTCTTATTACTTCAAATAGAATTAAAAATGTTTAACTGATTTTTTTTGTTGAAAAATAACTAGTCATAGGAACAACAAAAAAAGCATGTCAATGAAACAAATTTTAAAAAATTCACATGAAATAAATTATTTGTAAAACATTTTTTGTCGGAAAAGGTTTTGTGGAGATTTCGAATCTGGCGATGCGGGATCGTGGATACATACTACTGAGGAGTCTCGCAATATGACGAAACGGCCCTCCAGTGTTTCCAGGTTTTCCATGGTGGTCTAGATTCTAAACTATTGAAATCATTTTTATTTTATTTTATTTCTGGTTATTAAAGGAAATTTTTATGAATCCCTTAATAAACATGTTATATTGATTAGGATCTCTATACATAAAATGCATTAAATTGATAGATTCAACCAACACTGAGAACTTATCACGACAACACTGGTTACAACATATTAACCGATTGATATCTATCATATGAATACAATAGAGTCTCTGATAAAACAAATAAAGTTTCACTTCAGACATCCTGTCACTGCAAGCAATCACCTAAAATGTTTTTCTCCGTTGTTTATTCACTTGAAATATATAGTTTTAAGAAAATTGGCGAGACTATAATTTATGGATGAACTAATCAGGTATAAGATAACACGTCTCGGATTTTGGGGTGAAATTCACTCATCCATTTGGCTAAATAGAGTTTTAGAATTATAACCGATGTCAGTTCATGATGAAAATCCTAAATGTAATTCCTAACCTTAACCATCAACCGTATATCATAATTCCAATTCCTCACATTGGTTTATAACCCTCATTTAGTCCAGGTTATTAGGTGGACACTCTCAAAGTCACTTTGGCTTCACTCAAAGGTCATCCATAAATTATAGTCTCACCAGAAAATCTTTTGTTTATTTAGACAATACGAAATACTAATATGTCCTTGATACAACTGAAATGCAAAAGAATAACAAAATAATGAGTATATCTATACATTAGATTCTTTTAAGAAAATTTATTACAGATTTTGTCACAGAATCCATATATATTCTGATTTCTTTCTAATTAATTCAGTATCATTGAATACAAGGAATTAAATGGTAAATGTTTCAACTAACCTACACTTATCACTACAGAGTCCGTCTTCGTTTATGTTTAGAGAAATAGTTTTTTTCCACTCTCTTCCTATAAATAGTTATGCTTTAGGAAAAGAACATTCATGATAAAATATTTTACTGAGCTAAAACAAAAAAAGTACTTTTAATTATCAATTTCACCAAGCAATAAACCTTTCGATTAAAATCTTCATTTACAATTTCTGTAGAAATGAAAATAAACCACCTTTAAGATATTAAAAAGGAAGAACATATTTGTAAAATCTTAGCGAATGAATTCGAAGTAAATTTAACGTTGTACCTCGAAATTCTTTCTTTCCCCTTCATGTTTCATATCAACTTGACGCCCAAATATTGTGAAACTATTCCATCAAATTTAGACACATTTTCTTATTAATTAAATTTCCTGTTTTTCATTAATATCATGAACCGATTGATGTTAGACCAACGTTGGAAACCTGGAAGCACTGAATGAGTGTTTCGTTCTACTGTGGGACTCCTCAGTAATGCGCATCCATGATCTCGCTCGCGGGATTCGAACCCAGGACCTTCAGTCTCGCGCGCGAACGCCTAACCAACTGGATCACTGAACCGACATCTAGTGGTGTTAGTATCTAACATCAACCAATCAATGAAATCGCACTACTATCTTTCTCCACCCGACACAGATTAGCTCCACTGGTCACGGCTTCTCACTAGAACTCCGAGAATTCCCTCACAAATCTAGTCACTGGTGAGCACATGTTAATTATCAGTATGGGTTAATGTTAGACACTAACATCATTGGATGCCGGCCCAGTGGTCCAGTAGTTTAAGCGTTCGCGCGTGAGGCTGAAGGTCCTGGGTTCGAATCCGTCGAACGGGGTCGTGGATGAGCACTGCTGAGTGAATAATTCATATGAAATTAAAGTTATACATTGGAAATCTTAAAAAATCACTCATTCAATTATCTTCTTGAAAATGTTTATTTAAATCAATAAGAGTATCATTTATGTTTGTGTGATACCGCTATTAATCAATTTTATCGCTATATCATCTCAATGAATCTAAATGAAGGCCGGGAAAAAATGTCCAGTTGTGAGTGATAAAAATCAGATTTAAATATTAGTCATAAAAGAGTATAGGAAGTATATAATGTTTAATAATAAACAAAGGTTCAACTTACATTTTATAAATTCACCATTATATTCAGTTTCTTCAGTAAGATTTATTTGCATATTTACATTAAGAGTTAAGGTGTTTATAGAAAATAATGGAAACCATTGTTGTTGAGTAATTGAAGTTTCTTGACAGTTGACATTTATTATTGGTCCATTTAGTTTATGTGTCAATTCACATATTAAATCACTTTGTAAATATAAAGGTTGATTATTTATCTACAAGAAATAATTAATAAGATATGGATTACCTTTTTTGTTGTAAAAATTATTGTAAACCTCCTTAATATAACATAATTATTAGAAATAGACACCTTGGTAACTTTTCAAAGAAAACAAACATTGAAAAACTGTGAAATCACTTGATAGGAATTATCTGTCATCAAAGTTTGTACTAAACTTCCTACCTAAGAGATTTGAAAATGAAGATTCGAATTTTAATTGTTTACTCATATTTGTTAGTGTTTCAACACCCCTTCAGGAGACCAGGAATAATGTTCTGCGTACTCTAATCGTTTGCCCTAGTGATGCGAGGTGATAAAGGGACGTGAGAAGGATTAGTCGTGAAGATAAGAGATTTATTTGGAGGTGTTCGAGGGATTTGAATGTGACTAACTTTGCCTCGTGTGCTGTTACGGGTGTGAGGGCTGATATCACTTCACGGCTGCCCACACCGTGGAAAGGTATTTCTTGAGGAACCTGAAAAGGAAGTCGGATGAGTGTTGGTCTTAACGACCTGGGAGCGTGACCGCAGAGTCCAATGGACAATTACTTGAGGCCGGTCGCGCACGGCTTTTTTGTGGGAGGTTTATAATGTGTTAGCTCCGTTCTTCAAAGGGCCTTACCTCTGGAGACGGAAATCCGTGAGGTAAGGTGAGGTGTGACATTTCCAGGGTGCATGCACTCTTTGTGTTCCCCCAAATTCTAATCTTCTGAATTCTTCATATCCCTTTCTTTTTTCTCTTCCCAAATTTATTTCACTGGATTGTACTCTTTGAATAACATCTTCAAACCCTAATGTTTCCGATTACTGCTAATATTCATATTACCTCTACCGCTACGGGATTTGAGTCGACAATTGTAACTGTGTGCTAATGCGGTATAGCAACTCGAACTGATGAACAAAGTTCTACGTTGTTATTGACTGATTGACTGACTGACAACACCCCTTCAACACATCATTCTTGAAAATGGATGCAACAATAATGACATAGAATGTTATTTTCTCTGAAATATCTCATTTGGTGATTACTTTTAATAAAAAAACAACCATTAAAATTTCATAGCGGCTGTTATTCTTCACATGTTATCAACAACAAATTAGTCAAACATTATTGATATATCTAATAAATAAACAAATTTGTCTTAAATGAAAGCAAAACAAAAACTATTTTCATAGCTTATTTGAAAGGTAGAATTTAGTGTATTTTCGTTTATATCATGTGTACAGTCATCGATGAATTCAGCATTGTAAATTAGTATTGTGGAAATCCTCAATGAACAATAAAGACAAATTGTAATTTTTCATTGAATACCGCATTGTTTATTTTACAGACTGTTCTTGTGAATTGTTTTTCTTCAACATGAATTATATTTTTATATCTGCTTAAAACGATATTTACTCCATATACCAATCTCATTTTGCATTGTGAAGTATACGATAGAAATCTCACAATAATAAACACATTTTAACTAGTAACTTATTTTGTTTTAGTTATAAACTTGATAACCTATAAACAATTTATGAGGATTACAATAAAGAATAAACAAATAATGCATAAATATCCCAAGCAATACAAACATTTCCCATTTTTATTTTTATTTTTTGGTGGAACATTTTACTTGTTCCCTTTAAAAGCTGAAAATAAATAATCATTCATTGTAAGATTTCGTTTATCATGAATTCATTACATTTTTCAGACATTATAACATTTTGATGGAGTTTCGTTCTCTGAGCTCGGTGGTTTAGTCATAGAACTTTCATCGTTTTTTTAACGACATCATCAGAACGAACTTTAGGTATAAGTCTTGATCTCCCATTGAGAGATACAACCAAAACAAAGAAGTAGACAATGACAGGTTTAAAATCAACAAGAACCAATCAACATTGAGGTCTACAAGACAAGCTGTGAACCACATGTGGAGAAATTCGAACACTTCACTTCTACCTGATGTCTGTGTTGATGATGTTGTTCAGAAGAACGATGAAAGCTCCAAGACTAAACTATCCAGCTCGGAGAACAAAACTTCATCAAAATCATCCATCTGAGCTACAAATCTTCTCCACTATTCCATTTTTTCATCACTAACTCAAAGATATCTATGTTTAATTTTTCGATATAACTATGTGGGTTTCAAATTTATGTTATGTTTTGTAGCTACTTTCTTATTTGTCAAATCTATTCGGTATTAAAATGTGATGTTAAATAAATAAACACTAGTGTTATAATTAATCATTTTTAGTAAATATTCCTATTATTTGTTTTACAAATTACAAACTTACTATGAAATGTTGATCATTTAGTTTTGAATTATCTGTTATAAAGAATGGTTGATATCCATCATTACAAAACATTGAATTTCGTTTCTTGATCATAGTCACTGAATGTGAATTGATAGTTTTAGGAATATATTCTGTTTGACATGAGCCCAAGTGATCTATCTAATAAAAACAATTGATTATATAAAATTATATATTTCTATGAGAGCTGTAATTTTAAAAAAATGATTCAAATATGTTTTGAATATTATTCTTCTAGTAAATGATTTCAAGCAACCATAAGTTGAATAGAGGATCTTTAGTTTTGAGTTTATTTTTCTAAAGAAAACATACAAACTACTAGGATACTGGTTTATTACTATAAATGTCATTTTTTAGTCATTTGTTATACAAACTACATGGCAGTTGGAAGTAAAGGAATCTAGCTAATTTATATATACATGTAAACATCAAGATTGAATTCTACTAATCAACTTTGAAGTAGATCAGAACCGAAGCTTACGCAGAGATAACACTGACTACTAACTACTCAGTGATTGTTCAATACCGAAATTTCTTGTAATAATTGTTATATGCTTGTGGTCTGTTAATTATCATGTGATACGGCCGCCAATTGGAACATCGACTTATTGACCAGACCGGTGACGCATAAACCTGCGCAAGCGCCCTAGAGTAAACTCTCAATTCTTATTGGTCCATCGAGAGAGCAGCTTCTCACCTAACCCAGCTGGCTTAGTTCAGATTACCAGTATCAGCCTTCACGATATTAATCCGGTATTTCAGATATAATTGTTTTATACCATAAAGTAGAAAATAACAATTATACAAGATCAAACCAAAAGTGGCTGGGAGTATAGAAGACCGTGAATAATAGATTAGGAATAAATTAAGAATGGTAAAACGTATAACACCAGTCAATAGGTCAAATGGAAGTTTATAATAAAATGAATTTGAATATACATATAATATAATTGTTTAATGGTTATCCAGTAAGAATATATATAATAACAGTCCATAAATAGAACCTAGCAGTTACTATTCACTTATTCTTCGTCCAGATATAACATAATTGGAGAAAGATTACTTTTTTCGAAAACCTTTAGCGAATGGTGAGAATATATATTTTTATTATTTGTCGAAATAAAGTGAAGAAATAATTTACCGACAAACTCCCCTAAGACTCCTGGAATTCCAAGTAATATTCCAAACGCAATGATGATTGGATTGGAATTTATTAAAAGTCTAATAGAAACTACTGATATTTAGTTACTAAGACATTTGAAATTGATAAAAATGGAGAAGCGAAAGAATGAGGAGTAGGATTTCTTAAATTTTAAAAGCATCCCGAAGGTTCTTGATATTTAAAACCAAAAAAACTATTGTAAGCAAAGATGAATTAAGGCAATATCCAGGTAATACGTACAGTATGCACATATACTGATCAATTGAAGTCCTAAACATCAATGAAAAGTTCCAAACAAACAGTACCCAGTGAATTCAAACAACTACGAGCCCGATTATTCACCTATATTGCTACTAATGATTTATATACTGCAGTTTTAATCAGAAAATTAACATGGAAATTTGGATTCAGCGACCGTAAAAGTACAAATTTGTGTTAGATAATTTTCTTTAAAAACACATGGTAATTTTAAAACAAGTCAATAATTCCAATAATACCAAACATAAGCACTTGTTCACATGATTAACTTTTTTAAATGGTCTTTTATACTTTGACTTTCTAACTTTAGTTTTCTTGGAAACAATTGCATATGCATTCTTCAACTGACTGACCTTTAACCGGTTGAACTGGACTACATATTCGTGTATGGTTTGTGTAAATAAACAATACAGTTTGAAGTATATGATTTTTAGTGGCCCGAAATCTGACTCCCATAATATCGTATGATTGATCGCTGTCGAAATGTATATATCGTAAATCGTCATATACAATTATCGACTTAATCCGCTTTAGTGAATAACGGAATTAAATAAGCCAAATACGAGAATGGATTTTGAATATGTGTATTTCGTACAATTGTTGATCGAGACAAACGATAGAAGAAATGAAGCGAAATGACGCTCAGTGGAGAAGACATGTGAGCCAGTTCCATTTATTCATGCGCTAATCGATACTTGTAGTCACACAAAAACAAGCTACAGATGTGTGGTGAGTAGGATAAGATATACACTCATATAAAAACAAACAGGTTTGATAGGTGAAAAATTAACGAGGTCAAAATATGACACAAGAAGAATGAATAAACTGGCCTGTCCAGAAGCTACAATACGCTGTGTGAACAGAACATATCAACGGACACTACAGATTTGTATCACTGAAGTATTTCTATTTATGTTAATGACGAAGTACGTTTCGGTTTCAGTTAAATGTCATCATTTTTGAAATTTTTTGAACTGAACAAACATTGTCTACACACATTCAAAGTTCTGTACATCTGTCCGCGGTCGTATGAAAAAGTAATTTGTACTTGTAATTCCAAATTTTATTAGAATGACAATGAATGAGAATAAGAATTGGAATAACTAATATTCAGGAAACATAACTATGCGGAAAGCAAATAGAAACTCAATAATTAATCTAAAAGTTTACATAAAGGTCAATATAGTTAGGGTCTCAATAACTTATTTCAGTTAGACAAGTACTGAAAACCAAAATAAACTGGACATTTATTTCTTCCCAGCATAACAGTGCTCCTTAGTACACATTCACAATTCTTCAGCTACGGATCGAATCCAAACCCTAAACATTTAGACCATTGAATCGGTATTCATCAGCTTACATATCCAACATCAGTCGATTCGTATGATGCAATCAACTTCTCTGATAGAATTGTCTTTTGTATATTGCTCAAAAATATCATACTAAGAAATAAAAGTCGTCTAATATTTCATGATTTCCATTGATATTCCTAAGAATGTAAATGGTATAAATCAATAATCACTCCTAAAGAACGAAAACACACCTACCATTAAACATAAAATGATGTAACATACATAGCTATTGAACTTTCGTACTACATAAATATAAATGTAAATATATTTTATACTTATTGATCAATTCAATTTAGAGAATGATAAATGTAAATAGACGCAGTTTCGTGAGACGTTTTTAATAAAAGGGATATATATTGGCATCAAAAATCAAATGTTTATCTATTTTTTGTATTTAGGATTAAGAAGGCATATATCGAATATAATTTCTTTTTTAATGCTAGAAAATTCTGTTCAAATTTATCTGCGTCGGTTACAATCATTATGAAATATTCATAGAACCGAATAAACTTTTAAGATTATATAAATGAGTACACGAAATCTAACAGTAACTATAGAGTATATTATTAATTAAGACAGTCATTTAAGTATATTCGTATATATGTTTAAAATGTTTTCACAATATATTGAGAATATCAGAAAGGGTGTTTGTGGAAATTATTAGTAATTTCAATGTTTGAGATCAAGAGTCAATTGAATATAGACCATCATAGAAAACATGTAAGCATTGGACGGTCATTTCGTCCTATTTTGGGACTCCTCAGCAGTGCGCACCTACGATCCCGCCTCACGGGATGCGAACCAGGGACCTGTCAGTTTCGTGCGTGAACGTTTAACCACTAGACCAATCAAAAAGACAGTTACCTAATTTTGTCTAGTTCTTAACTGAATCTTCGCTTGGCATTAGTTGCCAGTGAAACGTTTTCTCAACAGTTAATCTCCTGTTTACGATACACCAGCTACTATAGGAAAATCACACTACTTCCTTATTTTTATTAAAATGTTCATTTATGCTTTGTCGAAGATTCAATCAAATTTAACCTTTAAATTGTAACTGTAAAACTGAAAAATCAGCCATCGTCTAAGTGTCCAAGATACTTACACTCACATCACATCTGGTGATATCCTTGGTCAGTAACTGTTTTTTTTGGGAAAGGATGTTTCAAATGAATGGAAAGTCCGCTACCTAGATAGCTATATGATATCATACAAAAGAATTTCTTGTTTTTTATTTATATTTTTCATCTAAAAATTTGTTTGTATCATTTGTGGGAGACCAATGTTACGATAAAATCAGTCATATTTTTGGAGATCAAGCACAATGTAGAAACTTTGTATCCAAATTTTTTAATCAATGAATCCCAATTTATTTACCTCGTAAAAAGAAACATATTCTACTATAAATAGATAGTCGTATCTGCTACCCGGTTACTCAACATGTAGCAAACAAATTTAATAAAAACTGGTGTGAAATTATAATAGGTCTTTCAAGATGAACCGTTTTAGTCTGTGATGTATAATATTATGCCTCACAAAATGACAACACAAAGTAGCCCATAAATTAGTGTAAATAATTGTCATATCGAACGATGTTATTTTATTATAGCAAGATGTATGATAGTTTTTGTATACGTTTATGTCTGAAAACAAGACATATGGATCGCTGTACTGGGATACTGCAAATTTGTATCAGAAGGGATTTTGTGGAGATCTTAGTAATTTCAGTTGTTGAGATCATGAGTCAATTGAAGCTAGACCAGCAGGTTCTGGGTTCGAATCCCGTGAGGGGGGGTCGTGGATTAGCACTGCTGAGGAGTCCCACAATAGGACGAAACGACTGTTCAGCCCTTTCACGATGGCCTAGCTTCAACTGACTCATGATCTCAATTATTGAAACAACTAAAATCTCCACAAAACCCCTCCTGATACTCATCAATATATGCTCACTGGTGACTGGTTTCAAGATGTATATCCCGGAGTTCTAGTTAGAAGCAGTGATCAGTGCAGTTCAACTAGGTCAGTTGTGAGATATTAACTCATTGATGACAATGGTGGATGTGTCGCTCAATTTCGTGGAATAATTGAAGTTAGATATTAACACCGCTTGGTGCAGGCTGGCTCAGTGGTCTAGTTGGTTAAGCGCCTGGCGCCAGACTGATAGGCGCAGGATTCGAATCACGCGAGGCGGAGTTGTGGATGCGAACTTCTGAGGGGTCCCATAATAGGACAAAACGACCGTCCAGTACTTCCAGGTTATCCATGGTAGTTCACATTTGTCTGTAAAGTCAGTCTACGATTTCAAAAAAATTGGTTTACGCAATGAAAAATTTAAATCTTTACGAAACATTGTCACAATCAGATACGATTCC